TATGTGAAAAAAAAAAAAAAAAAAAGAAGATGCTTTGATATAAAAAGATTTCCCCCCAAATGAAGTCTGGACAATGTACTACCTTTTATGGAAAGGGGAGGGTAAGAAACAAGGAAGAAAGTTTAAAAATTTGTGTATCATTTGTCACAGATGCTGTTAGAGACTTTGGAAGAATATACAAGACATTAATAGTTATGGTCGCACGGATGGGAAGGAGGAACAGGGTGGCTGGGGACTGACTTGTTCAGCCACTGGGGCACAGCTGGAGCTGCACCCGCCCCGAGTCCTTCTACACCCACCCCACGGTGCCACGTTCCCGGCCCCGCTCCCAGAAACTCCAGGCCCTGTTGCCCGTGTCTCCTGTGACTCTATACCCAGCAGAGTTCAGTGATAATCACAGGCAGAGGCCGGAGGGGAGAGGAAAGGAGGATGCAAGGGGGAGGCACTCACTCTTGCAGGGACTGCTTGGAATCATCAGCATTTGCTGTTCCCAGATCCAAGTCGTAGGACATGGGCTCCTCGGGGTGGTCTGGACTCTTGCAGCCACTCTCCTGGAGCAGGCAGCTATCAGAGTTCAGGCTGCAGGACAGCTGTGAGGAGCTGGCTGTGTCCAGGCTGAGTGAGGAGGCTGTGAGCTTCCTGTTCCGTCGGATCTTATGGCCCGAGTGCTGGACTTCGATATCCTCTGAGCCTGAGGAGTGGGAAATGGAGTCCAGAGACTCCTCACGCTGGAGTTCTGCACTAGAGGTAGGGAAGGGGTCGAGTTCTGAGAGTGGACAAAGCCCAGCGAGGGCCAGTGGGGTGATCGTCCACTCATTCAGGACAGCGGACTTGTAAGAGAGCTCGAAGGACAAGGACGTGAGTCCCTGCAGGAAGCTCAGGAGGAACTCGCCCTCCTCGGCGTCCCGCAGCAGTGCGCTGGGCTGGTAGTACTGGCATAGCCTCGCCTGCTCCTGGAGCAGCAGCTTCAGGTAGCACTCCATCAGGCCGTCATTGAGGGCCAGCCGCAGCCAGGCCCGGCAGCGGCCCACGTCCGTGTTGATGAAGGCCAGGCGCTCTAGGTCCAAGATGATGTGTCTGGGAGGGCAGAGCAGACTTGTTTCAGAAACTACCTCAGATAAAACTGTATCGAGGGGGCCGGGGTTTAGCTCAGTGCTTCTGCCACTTGCCTCGCAGGCGCAAGGTCCCGAGTTCGATCCCCGGTACCAAAAAAAAAAAAAAACAACAAAAAAAACAGTAACGAGGTACTATTTTATTCACTAGTTAGCAAGAACCTCTGGTGACAATGGCAAGTGTATGTAGGCATGAAAAATTCCTTGGTAATGATGTTTCAAGGGAAACATAGAAATGCTAAGCTATAATCCTCAACCTTTTGAGGGGTCATGAAGGACAACGGTCATGTTCGTTATAACCCCTTACTTACTATCCCTGCTGACCAAGATATGTGTGCTGAACCCCTAAACCCCTTCTGTAAAGGGCCAGAGAGTAAATAAATAGTTCAGGCTTTGCAGGCCACACAGAATCTACCCAGCCCCGCCAGTCTGGTCCGAAGCTCATAGGCCTGGACTGTGGAGCAGGCCACGCGGCAGTTTGGGAAGCGTGGTTTGGAGGCAGCCCTTTCTACAGGACGTTCCCGCCCGCCCTCACCCTATCTCCATACTCGCTGTCTGCTGGCCTCCACACAGCCAGGGCAGCCAAGGGTCCCACACTTGGAAGGTCCTCCCCCAACGACACCTTCCTGCCCGTCTCACTTGTGGGTGACAGCTTTCAGGAGGGGCCAAAAGACAGGCTGAGGCAGAGGCTTCTGACGCGCACTTTTCTTCCGCTTTCCTCCGGTCTCTGCATGGATGTGCTTGGCCTGCAGGCCATGGATAAGCACAGCCTCCAGGGCACTGCACATGGTGTTGGCATCTCCATCTTCACTCGTGACCACCGCGTCCAGGGACATGTACTGCTTCTGCAGCGCCTTCACAGACCCCACCAGCTTCTTCTTGATGACCTAGGCAGTGCCGAGCAGAAGGCAGGCCTTCAGAAGAGAAGCCCATGGACAGCCTGGGAAAGCAGCCCCAGGCTAGCACCAAGTACCTGCGCAACCACATACTCCTGAGTAGATTCTGGGGCCAGAAGCAGCATGTGTTAATCACACCAAAGACAACGCATAGAGAAGGAAAGGAAAGTACACAGTACCCAGAGGTAACTAATAGTATTGTTCTGCATCCTTCACTGAGGATCCCTTTTGTTTTCCAAACAGAACTTCAGCAAACTTACAGCCATATCACTTTGTGTTTCAATAAAGGCTCCATCACAGGAAGGGCTAGCGAGCTTCGGTTAGGATGGGAGTGAGGTATTATATGACCAAGAGTCTGAACAGAATCAATAAGCTCAGAGGTAAAAAGTGCTGCTTTGGAAAAATTCAAAATATCAAGCAAGGCTGGGGTAGATGTAGCTCAATGGTAGAACATGAGCACAGGCCCTGGTTGATTCCCAGCACTGTTGGGAAAAAAAAATCAAAGAAAAGGACCACGGCTTCCAAGAGAAATCCTTCCTAGGGGCTGGACAAGGTCATATATGCCTATAATTCTAGCGCCCTTGGAGGCTGAGACAGGAGAATCACTAGCTTGAGCTCACCCTGGGCAACCTGTCTCAAAATAAAAAATAAAAAAAGGGGTGCACGGGGGGGAATGGGATAAAATTAAAATACAATTTATTTAAAAGGGGGAGGGGTTGGAGATGTAGCTCAGGGAGAAGGCCCTGGGTCCAATCTTCAGTACTGTGCATGCAAGACTGACCAATCCATCCATCCATTCATCCTGGGAGCCAATGGCCTAGATTCAGTGTCAGCCCAGTCACTTCAGACATTTCCTTAATCTCTCTGAGCCTCAATTCCTGCATCTGTTAAATGGAAAGAAATAACATTTCCTGAACTATAGCAATTGTGGCATTGCTTCTGAAGGCAGAAGAACGCCCCCTACTCTGCCCGGACCGAACGCAGGGAGTGCTGAGTATATTTCTAGTCCTTTTCATTTTATTTTTGAGACAAAGTCTGGCTAACTTGCAAAGGCTGACCTGGAATTTGTGATCCTCCTGCTTCAGCCACCCAAGTAGCTGGGATAATAGGCATGTACCATGATGCCCAGCTCAGACTGGTCTTTTAAATTTACCCATGTATCCTCAAACAACATGAGAGTCCTCAAACAACATGAGAGTCCTCAAACTGTAAATGCTGGTTAAATGAACACATTACAAAATGTGTATAAAGTCCTTTGGGATTACAGAGTAAAATTATTCAATCATAATTATGACAAAATTATGTGTTTGGAAAAGGACTAGAAGGGACTGCACAAAAACTGGTTTAAACTGAGTACAGAGTTATGGATAAATAGTTCACTCTTTTACATTGATTTATCCCAAACAAGGAAGCTAATTTTTTTTTTTTGTTGAACCCAGGCTGGCCTCCAACTCTCAATCCTGCTTCAGTCTCCAAAGAGCTGAGATTATATGTGCCACCACACTTGGCTTTGGGAAATTAAGTTTTTAAAAATTAACTTAAAAATATCAGTGAGATATAATTCACACACCACAAATGCACTCATTTAAAGCACTCATTGAGTCCAGTGGTTTTTAGTAAATCAGAGAACTGTGTAGCATTCACCACTAATTTCAGGCCATTTTCATCTCCTCTCAAAAGAAACAGTGTACAGGGCCGGGGATTTGGCCCTGCCTGGCAAGTGCAAGGTCCTGAGTTCGATCTCACTACCAAAAAAAACCAAAACCCACAAAAGAAACAGTGTATTAGTGTTGCCAGGTGCTGGAGGAGAGGGGAACTGGGACGGTGATCAGTCCTGTTTTTGTCTCTGGATTTGCCATCGGGGACAATCCACATGAATGGGACCATCTAACCCAGAGCTCGGTCTGGTAAAGGCTTCTGCACAAAACCAAGTAAGGCGACAGGTGGAACTGCACCCTCTGGTGGCCTGCAGGGGAAGGTGCACCTCTGAGAAAGCTCTGAGTTGCAGAGCAGCAGAGGGAAGAAAGGGAAATCCTGGCTTCTCAAGGAGCTACCTCTGGACTCTGCTGAGGGACAGCCAGAAACCTACCTGACCTTCCGTCTCTCTAAGGAACTGACAGAGCCAGTCCAGCATGCCTGGAACAGCCCAGGGCCTGCACAGGGCAGAAGGGACTTTGGTGAACTAGTCACCAACAACTGTGTTTGAAAACCCTGGAAAACCGTCAATGTTGAAAGGCAGATGCAAGCTATGAACATATCATATTATTGAGCTAACAAGCCAGCACCTAGGAATATCTGTTCTGACCAAATCAATGCTCTGACCGAACTGTGACCACATCACAGCCTAAGGGCACAGGGCTGAAGGTCTGAATGGAAATCCTTGGTCTCCAGGTAGCATGCCTTAACCCCCAGTGTTTTATTAAATAAACTGCAATTTCACAGCAAATAAGCCCATCTGGAGAGGCAGGATCTCCTCTAGACTGCCTTCCCTTCTTTTCTCCGAAGGCCTCTTTCTGGGAGTGGGAGGCCTGCCTGCCCTCAGATCCCACCCCATCAGCCCTGCCCGCTTACCGGGATAGTGGCCCGGGGGTCCAGTCCATTTTCGACCACTGAGAGCATTTCCACTCAGGAGCAGCTCCGCCGAGACTCACATGACACCTGCAGGGACAGATGGTGGCCACATGAGCATGCTCCCAACTCCCTGCAGCCACAGTCCCTCCCAGTAGTGGGCAGGCGGTCAGCCGGCTCACTCAAACTGCAACCAAGAGGCCTCTGAGTGACACGAAAGTAAAACTGAAGAGCAGATTTTAAGGAAGGAAGCAAGGAAAGAAAAACCAGAGGCTCTGTCCTGGGGAGGCAAGGAGCTCTGTGTGTGGTTTGGGACTCTTTGTACACACTGTATAGGGTGTCCGGCCCCTGGGATGGGGTTCCAGTGGGGAACCAAGGGCCGACTGAGGGTACAGGGGCAGCATCAGCGGAAGGCGACCAGCAGGCAGGAGCACAGTCACAGCCAAGGCCCATACCCTGTACCGGCCTAACTCCTGTCCCAGTCCAGGGATGGCCAGCCCTGCTGCCAAAGCCCAAACAGATCAGCTTCAGCTCTGCTTCTCCTTTGGGCTATGAGGGTTTCACGTGAGCAGCACAAGGAGGAGTCTAAACGGGACAACACTGGTTCTGATCAGTTTGCCACTAATCAGCGAGGCAAGTGGAGCAGGGTCTGACAGCTCAGGTGCGGAAGCACAGGCCTCCTGCCTTGCTATAAACAGCACTGGTCATCCTAGCGCAGTGCTGTGAACCTCTGGCATGTGTGCTTCGGCAGGCTGTTTATTAACATTGAAAGCCCTAAAAGGTTCGCCAGCACAGTTCTAGTGGATATGGCCACACAAATCTACAAGGAAAGAATACCATTTCCCAGAAGTCGGCCTCATGCTTTTTTGTTTTGTTTTGTTTGAGATAGGGTCTCACTATGCAGCACAGGCTGGCCTTGAACTTGCTGCAATCCTCCTGTCTCAGCCTCCCAAGTGCTAGGATGATAGGTGTGTGCCCCCACGCCCTGGCAAAGTTGGTCTAATGCTAAACCCTTCAGGGTAGCTGGCTTCCAGCCTGAGTCTGAGCCTGAGGGGTACTGGCAGGCCTGCTGAACATGAGAATTGGAAAATAAGCCAGATGTGCTCCTGCAGCCTGTAATCCCAGCACTCTGGCAGACTGAAGCAAGAGGATTGTCAAGTTTGAGGCCAGGCTGGGTGAGTTAGCATGACCTTGTCTCAAAAAAAATGTGAAGGCCTTGGGTTCAACTCCAGTAGGAGGATGTGGGGAAGGAGGGCTTAAAGGTGCTTCTGCTCAGAATTATGGCCCCAAGAAGTTAACAAAAACCAAGGCATGTGACAGATTGCTTCATTTATGCTGCCAATCATCCCAGGAGAGCCATTTTATTATCTCCACCTGACAGATAAGGACAGGGTGAACTGACATGGGTACCACGGCTGACAAGTGTCCTGCCTCCACTGTCCTGCCCCCGGCCTAAGGGAGGCCCCAGACTCCTGAGTGAGGGCCATCTTCAGAGCCAGGACTTCAGTGGGGGCCCTGGAGGGGTGTGGGGACAGAGGCCAGTCTGCAGGCAAGGCTTGCAGGAGGCTGGAGGGAGAAGGAGGGAAGTAGGGTGGCCTTCAATGGAGCCTCTGGCTCAGTCTGGCCTGGGGCTTGATGAGAGGAAGAGGGCCCAGTGAGTCAGGCCATGCAGAGGGAGGGAGGTGTATGTCCATATGGAGTGCATGGCGAGGAAGAGCCCTTGGCCCTGGCTGCCTGCAGGCCTCAGTCTTCATCATACTGTGCTCCCCCTAATCAGGAGTTGTCAGGAGCTCTGGAGAGGAGCCCTGCACTCTAGGCTTCAGGGTGACAGGAAAAGGGATGTGGTGTGGCCAAACACAGTCAGTCACTCCTGGCAACATGCCTATCCTGAGGCTGGGTTCCTGGTGGGTCACCCCAGTGCAGCTCTTCGGACAAAATCTAGCCTCTCTGGCTCGAGGGCTTGGGGCTCCAGGGCCCGTCCTCAATTCCCAAGGCCTATGCCTCTCCCTCGGGCTGTTCTAGACAGCTGCCCTTCCCCAAACAGCTACAAGGACAGGACCTTGGAGCCTAGGCCTTTACCTAAATAGCCTGGGTTCATTAAGGCCTCGTTAATTAGCTGGGAGTAAGAGAATATTCATTAGGAAGGGCTACCAGAGAGTAGGTGCTCTGGCAAAATAACAGTCTATTAAAAAACCCCAAAGTAAACTGAAGCTAGGAGAGGTCAGAGCAGGCCAATGAGACAAGTAACTACTCCTGAAAACCAAGTGTCAGGAAAGCCAAAATGTGACTGATCCTCAGAAGAACCCATAATAGCCCTTTGACAATTTACAAAACAGGACAAAGGCTTTGGGGTTCAACTCAGTTCAGGACAACTTGACCTTTCCTTGTATGAAGCCAAAGCAGCCTACACGTGTCAGTGTGCTTCCAGGGTCAGGAGTGTGACCATCAGTGACATAAGATCTCACTGGTGGGCCCAGACCGAGGCACTGGGTGTCTTGATCGCTGGGTCAGCGCTGCACCCTCTGCCTGGTGGCTCAGACCCCAAGTTCACCATCCTATGGTACTGGTGTCACTTCCTGTTCTCAGAGTATTCTTCACTGACAGCAGAAACAGCTCTGAGGAGACCTATGCTGCAGGGAACATGAAGAGAATTGGGCCACTCCCTCTGCAGGCTCTGCAACATTACAGGGCAAGTCTGGGAGGGGAAGACGACACCACACGTCTATCCTGCCCCTTGGCCTGGATTCCCCCTTCCCAGCTTCCCTGGTGAATGAACAAGCTTCTCTGATCTCACTCTCCAACCTCATTTCCTCCTCAGAATGATCCTGTAAGAGGTGGTTGTCCCTACTTAAGAGGTGAGACCGGGGCTCCACAGAAACAGGCCTCAAGTAAGGGACAAAATTCTTGGGACCCCTGACTCCTTTCACTACATAAAACCATGTCAGGTCTTCGGCTGGAAAAATTTCCAGCACACTATCGCTCACAGAGTCTACAGATCTCTTCAAAAGCTCCATTTAACTGAAGAGAGACAGTCTAGCTGGTTGGATTTCTAGCCCCACCCAGCCAACCCCAAGTCCTTCCCTTGGTCCCACGTTTCAGAGTTCTACTTCCCTAAATGTTCTCACATGTGGGGAGCGATTGTCCCGGTGGCTCTTCTTCATTCTACTGCTTGTCCTTCTGCTTACACCATGTCCCCATGAGCTCACTTCTTCCAGAGATCAAGGAAGAAAGCGAAGAAGGGCTTACAGGAGACACACAGAGCAGGAAGAGATGCACACCCGGCCTTACCACTCTCAGAACACTCAGTCCAACAGTAAACAGCACCTGCTTCTCTGTGGTGACTTCCCAGCCACTTCCCACAGCCTTTCTTCTACCGCCTGAAGCAGTACCTGGCCCTTGGGGACAACAAGCCTGCCAGTGATGGCATGCAGCTGCTGTCCCAACTGAAGAGTCATGTCATTTCAGCTGGAAAGGAATGACATTATCTTCTGATTCAGAAAGGCAGCTGATCTGCCAGACGTGTGAGGACTGCCTGAGTTAACAGCACTCCCTTCCATTTGAGGAAGGCTGGATTCTGGACAGGGGTCCCGGAAGGGGTGGGATGAGGGAGACTGGGTGGAGGCCTTTTAAGCAACAGCTTCAATCAAATGTGAAGGGTGAGAACTTCCAGCCTGTGATTCCAGGCCAAGGACTTGTGGGTGAGGGCAGAACTGTGAGGTCGTGAACAACGCCAAGTATCCTTTTTTCTTCTCTCCACCCTTCTGTCCGATAACACCCATTGCCCTATGTTCTGTCCCAGTTGCTACAGGATTCTAACTAGGGGCACTGGAACTTTAGCTAACTTACCACTACATTTCTAGTACAATAAGTCCCCAACTTACACACATTTGAGTTGCAAACTTTCACAGCTGTAATGTATCGATTCACTTTGTTGGATTATGAAAATTCTCCCGGAAGCTAGGGAATTACTATACCTAGAATGGTGATTGGCATGCAATGGTGCTGAAAAATGCTTATTGACTGACTTGATGGGTAAAATAAAAATAAAGCTGAGGGCAGATATGCTCATTTTACGGACTGTGGAAGTTGAGGTACACCACTCTGATGTGGTGGGGCTCTTGTGGAACTGCCATTAAACCAAGCTGCCAATAATGCTGAAATCCATCTGGATAGTTGCACCGTAGCAGGGAGACACTGAAGGTAGAACCACATTCAGCTTTCAAAGGCAGAGACCAAAGGGGCAAAGACAAGGGTCCTTTGGATTCTTTAAAACTGCCCTGGTGGCCAGGGGCGTATCTAAGGGTAGAACTCTTCCTTGCCATGTCAGAGAAACTGGCTTGATCCCCAGCACCGAAAAAACCCCAAACAGATCTCAACCCCCTGTACCAAAAAAGAAAACCCCCCAACAGAAAACAACCATCAAATGGCTGATCTTCCGGATGGCAGATCACCAGAATTCAGAGGAAATGTGCACAAGAAAGCCTCCCAGAGATTAGAAATGCCAAGCAAGGGGCCTGGGGGCCTGAGGAACAGCCCTCTGTCTCAGCTATGAGAAAATTTGGCTTCCTGTGTTCATGGAACCCAAACGGCTAAAATTCAACGATCCAGCACCTACAGAAAGAGTCGGCAATTCAACAGCGTCTGTCCACCCCCTTCCATGCTTCTCAACATGTAGCGCGCCTCCGACACTCACTGTGTTCCCCGGGTTAAGCACTGGGACCAGTCTGCAATCAGCTCTGGCAGAGGGGAGCCCCGGGAGAGGATTCTCCACAAGGGCCAGGACAAGACACATGACACAGGAACATGGCTCTGTGATCACTGCCAACTCCATAGCGCGGCAACACCCTGAGGTTCTCCGGGGCCAGAACGCCAGCCAAAAGGAAGTGATGGCTTCCATCACCCTAGGATGAGTGAGGTGGATGAATGCCCACCTCTCACCTTCTAGGTCGCTGAGTGACATCTACCATTCCAATATCCTGCACCAGCAATTTGAGATGAATGCGACAACAATGCGACAACAACAACAAACAATCTCTAGGTCCAGGTCCAGGGGACTAGCTACCAGAAAAACCTCTGACCCAAGCCTGGGGGCTGGGATCTCGACTCCTCCACACTCCTTCACCAGCTGAGGGCCTGCACACCCCAGTCAGCAGGCTCCCCTCTAACTGCCCAGCTGAGCCAGCGCCTAGACCTGCTGCGGAGGGGCAGCTGGTAGGGTTGCAGGGGCTCGGTGCTACATGTGTTCTCAGGCTGAATGGGAGGCAAGGCAAAGGAAGAATGGGCATAGAGTTGGGGTGAAGAGTTGCCATGGGGACAGCAGAGGTGAAAACCCCAGAGTACTAACACTGGCAGAGGGTAACAGGAACTGAGGCAGCAAGAGTTGACGACAGGTTAGCAAAAACTCAGAGACGGGGTGTCTTCAAGATAGTAGGAGAGGACAAAGGAGTACATGATGAGCTAGGAAGTTGGGGACCGAGGCTGTGAGGCCAGGGTGCACGTTAAGACTGCAGTAAACCTGAGATCAAGCCATCAGGAAGAAAGAGGGGAGTTCAGCAGCGCACCCACTTTGGCGGTGGGTCTTCAAGACGGGGCAGGGTTAGGATGCTTGGCGATTAGCAGACACTCGGGAGCTGAGCAGGTGTGGGAGCCGGAAAAGGGGAGCCCTGCGCAGAGCACTGGGCTTGCCAGAGGGGCTGAGGGGTGAGGACTTGGCAAGGAGAGGTGAAGGGCTGTGGCCCAGACTGGGGGTGCAGCAAGGCTGCAAGGGTCACGAGAGGGCTGCATTTAGGAAAGACCGGTGCCGGGGGGGGGGGAGGCGTGGTCTGGGGGAAGACGCGAGACGGTAGGGTGCCGGCCGGGAGGGCTGGGGCTCCAGAGCCCAGCTGTCTCCAGTCAACCAAGCGTCTGGGATCCGGCGAGGGCTAGAGGCCAACACCCGTTCGCGCCGAGACCCCGCCGCCCCTGCCCTGCCCGCTTCGCCCCCGCTCCCGGGCCCTAACTCACCACGGGGAGCAGGAGCAGGACAGGCGCCCAGACCAGGCAGCGCCTCCGCCTCGGAGCCCAGGTCACTGACAACAGGAAGCGGCGCCGCGACGCTGACGTCAGCACGCCGGCCGGCGTCTGGCCCCACCCCGAGCCGCGAGCCAATCGCGGGCCCCGGAGGAGCCGCGGGGCGGAGCCGGCGCTTCCCGGAAGCAGTGCGCCAAGACCGGGGCAGGGGCGCAGTATAGGTGTTTGTGACCCCGCCTCCAGCAGATCCGTGTCAGACCGGGTCCTGGAGTCCAGGTCCCCGACCTCGCTCGACCTCGGCACCAGCTCTGCGACCGTGGGGCTGTCCCTAGCCGACGACGAGCCATTTAAGAGCTGCTCCAGTGATGCCTGCCCTGCCTTCGCCTCTCAGGACACCAGCGCAGCCCAGAGGGCAGAGCCGGGTCCAGGGTGGAGCCGCAGGCTTTCGGAGCCGGCAGATACCTTTGTTGTCACTGTGCCTTGTGATGGATGGTCTTGAGGCTCCCTTGGACACTTTCCCGCGTTTGACTCACCGTCAGCCACCTAGCCAGGGGCCCGCTTTTCCCCTTCTAGCCACGCAGTATCTTTGCATTTGTAACAAATGTTAGAAGTAGTCTACCGACCCAGCTAGCGAAGGCCTGGGAGCTGGTGTCAGCAGTGGACCCCGGTTTGGGTGCTGTAAACTTACCTCTGCTTCCTGGGCAAAGAAAGATGTCCCTCATATCTGCAAAGATTAGGGGCACGGTACCTGTTTCCATTGTAAAACCTCCTGTTGGGGATGTGCCCCTGTAACAAAAATTGGAGGCTGCTTTTGTTAAAAATACTGCTCTTCATTAGGGCCTGCAAATGCTCAGTGGGTAACTAAAAGTAGGATTTAAAAGTTGGCATCGCTGCGTCTGTTTTGCATCTTATCTCCTTTGCTCTTGCTGGGAGTCATTCTCTTTGGCAGTCTCTTTGGATTCTGGGAGCAACAGGTCTGATCCATAAACAACTTTGATTAGTCTGAAACTACTCCCTAGGCAACAGCAATTTCAACAAGGCCAGTCCTGACAAACCCCAAGATTGAGATCTTCCAACCACCTTTTGACCAAGACTTGTTTGACTGCAGATTGCTGATTCCCTTGTCTGTGTAACCTGGGAACTCAGGTCAGTAAAACATGAAATGAAAACCCAGATCCTCTTGTCTTCCTGACAGCTACTCCCTGGGGATTGAACGTTCCCTTCCCACCTATCACCCTTGCTTTAATATAGGGCATATTGATTATAGACAGCTAAGTCAGGTAGAAATATGGTAGGCAGTCAGACAGGAGTGGGCCCTCGAGGAAGTCAGTGGCTGGAGGCGCATCTGAAGAAGATTAAAATCACAATGGCCAGATTTGCATACTTCTCTAAGGAAGGAATAGAAGTATGAGATTATATGTACCATCCTTTTGAGATTTCCTGTATAGACACTGGGTGTGGGCCATCCTCTCCCACCCACTAAACTAAGACCACTAAGATTTTTTTTTTTTTTGGTACCGGGAATCCAAGTCCTTGTGCTTGCAAGGCAGGTGGCAGAACCACTGAGCTAAATCCCTGGCCACTAAGATTAAGACTGTTGTGTCCAGATTGTGAAGTCCCAAAGACCACCAGGAGGCCGTTTCCGATGTAAGCACACGAGGGTCGTTTATTTAAGCTTAAGCAGGGACTCTCAATTGTCACCGACACAGCGGATCGAGATTGAGAGCCCTGAGTCCCAAA